GTGAAGAAGATCCGTCAACATAGACAAATTGTTTGCGATGTTTTAAATAGCTTTTTAGTAGTTTTAAAGCATTACCGATGATACCATAATGTTCAAGTTTTTTAAACAGTATTTCATGGTCAATTGTGTCGAAAGCCTTAGATAAGTCTATAAAGACGCCTAAAGTGAACTCTGACTTTTCGAAAGAATCAGTTATACTACGAGTAAGATGAACTATTGCATGTTCAGTAGAGTTATTTCTTTTAAAACCATATTGGTTTATGTAAAGTATATTATTAATTGCAAGATGATTAGATATTTGATTAAACAAAATTCTTTCTAAAATTTTTGAAAAAACAGAGAGGATAGATATTGGTCGATAATTAGTGACATTAGACGGTTCACCTCCTTTAAATACAGGCGTTATTTTGGCTATTTTCAATTGATCTAATTTCAATATATATTGTGATATATGTTATTTCTTTAGATATATTATTGGTGAAAAAATTAGTTATGATTCAAGCAACATTGAGGATGCCGTTAGCGACACATTAAAACGAGCTAAAAAAACTATATTTATGCTAGATTGTATTTATATATCAATATTGTCAAAAGTATTAATCTTTTTATTTTTTTGTAATGATTTGTGTGAATACTTTATTTTTAAAGTAACCTTACTATTATCCAAATAGAGATAGCCACTTGTATTAAATCTTAAAAGCACGTGTGTATCATATTTAGGCTTTGTGGAAGAAAAAAAAGACTTTATTTTTTATATCAAGTCTCTATTTTTTATAGTAGCTAGAAATGAAGTACTAAATGAACGGACAAAACTTCGACGTCCAAAAGCGTTTATTGTGGACCCCGAACGGATTATTTTAGACGTTCTTTATAGATCCGAAATGGACGAAAATTATTGCATTTAGTACGTCCATAGTACGCTCACGGGCGTCTTTTTGGACGTCCGAACGGATCGTTTTCGACGTCCTTGGACGCATTACGGTCCGCGTGCGCATTGAGGCCAGGGAATCATTGATCTAGGTAAATATATATATAAATTTGGTGAATTTGGGCATAAACAACTTTCGCAATAGTTATTTGAAATACGGAAGAAAAAAGTTTGAAAATTTCTGAAGTTTTTGTTTACGGGGAACAACCTTAGTAAAAACGTAATGCTTCGCTTGAAAGTAAATGTTACTGTTATGGTTAAAACAATTTGTAATGAAATAAATATATTTATTAAAACATTATTTAGGGCAGTTTGTTTCTTGGTTTAGTTATCAGTGCAAAAATTACAACTATTATACTTAAATTTTATTTGGGAAAGGTTTTTTTTTTTTTTTTTTAATTTTTATTTTGCCGTTTAATAATATACAGTTTCAAAGCATATAAATAAAAATAAATATTGGCGGGGCAAGAAGAAGACTAATTTAGCCTTATCACCGAGCCCCATTCTCACGTATTTACAAAAACCGTAATATTTAAATATCTATAGTTAACAAACTATTTATTAAAAAAAGAAAAATATAAAAGTAAAATAGATAAAAATTCGTTGTCATTTAAAGAAAAAATAAAAAGAATCAATAAAAAGAATCAAAACTTAAAGAAAGAGTAAGATCAAGTGAAAAAAAAAAAAAATAAATAAATAAGATATTATCATTTGCTTAAAACTTAAAAGTTTAAACTAAGACTTAAAAATAAAAAGTGAAAAAAAAAAAAAAAAAAAAAGTATATCATAGAAATAACAAAAATAAATTAGTATACTTCATAGAAGTAACGTAAATAAATTAGCAAACGCCATAGAGGTAATACCATAATTAAGGTTATGAAAAAATAATATTGATACACTCAGTGACATAATTTTAGTATTAATAATTTTTTGTATTTGAGTTTTAGTTAAAAAAACATTTAAAATCAGATATATTAAAATCCATGAGTAAGAATGCCTGTTTTGATTCATTTTTAAATTGTTCTATACTTGTTTTATGTGTATTTACAATCTTGGGAAACATTTTCCACAAGTAAGGTCCACGATAAAGAACTGAATATGAAGTTAATTTTGAATTATATTTTGGAACAACAAAGTTGTTATTTGAAAATTTTGTTGGATATTTATGAACTATTTTGTCAAAATAGGATTGAAATATTTTAGGAGATAATCCTATATTTGTTTTATACATGAACGTTAAAACTTGGTGTAAGTTGATTTTATATATATTTAGTGCTCCAAGTATACGCAGAAGGGGCTCACAAGGTACAGTTCTGTCTGCTCAAATATTGTTCTGCATGCGTGTTTTTGTTTGCAGTACAATTTTTTTAATTTTGTATGGTTTGTACTTGCCCATGCAATATTGCAATAAATTAAGTAACAATGAATAAAAGAGAAATATAAACTTTTTAAAGAATTATTGTTTAAAAATGGTTTAGTCCTATTTATCATGGCTAAATTTTTTGATATTTTATTTTTAATACTTTTTATGTGTAAATTCCAACGTAAATGTTCATCTAAGATTACGCCTAGAAAGTTTACTGAGTTTTCTCTTTTAATGTTAGTGTTATTGATTATTAAATTAGGCAAATTGATGGGAATATTTTTTGAATTATTCACTTTGTGGAACAAAATAAATTTGGTTTTATCCACATTCAGAGAAAGTTTGTTACTTTTAAACCACTCATTAACTTTCGATAATTGTTCTTTTGTTGTTTTAAATAGTGTATTGATATCTCTGTGGGAATAAAAAAGATTGGAATCATCTGCAAAAAGAATACAATTTAATAGGTCTGTTGCTAAATTTAAATCATTAATGTACACTAGGAACAACAGAGGTCCTAAAATAGAGCCCTGGGAATCACCACAAGTTATAGCAGGCAACAATGTTTGCTTTTGTTCATACACTATAAATTGTTTTCTATCGGTCAAATAACTTTTGAACCAAAGTAAATTGTTATTTCTTACTCCATAGTGTTCAAGTTTTTTTATTAGTATGTTATGATTAACGGTATCGAAAGCTTTTGACAGATCAATGAAAACTCCTAAGGTAAAGTAGTTACTACTGAATGCATTTGATATTTGATTTACTAGTTCAACCACTGCATGTTCCGTTGAATTTTTTTTTTTGAAACCAAATTGTTTTGAATACAACATGTCGTTTTCTGATTAGTGATTAAAAAGCCTATTGTACATTATTCTCTCAAGTAATTTTGAAAAAGAAGGTAAAATAGATATAGGCCTATAATTAGAAATATTTGAGTCATCTCCGGACATAAATATTGGCGTGATTTGTGCAATTTTAAGCTTTTCAGGGACAATACCTGTTTTAAATGATAGATTAAATATGTGAAACAACAAGGGTTCCATTATATTATATACTGGTTTTACAACATTGACGTTAATTTTATCAAATCCAGCACTTTTGTTAGTTTTAAGGTAAAAAAAGACGGTTTGCAATTCAATTAGTTTTAACTTAGGTTCATCCATAACTTTATCGTAGTTTTTTAAAAAAGATTCAAATGGTGTTGTATGAATTCAACATTTTTAAATGGAATTTTTAATGCCAAATTCTGACCAGCATTAGTAAAGAAGCTGTTTAGTTTTTCAGCAATAATTGATTTATCATAAATTGTGTTTTTATCAATTGTTATTTTTTTTGGAAGAATGTTTCTTGGATAATTATTTTTTTCGATCATTTCTTTAATTACACTCCATGTTTTTTTAGCGTTTCCGGTGGCTTTACTTAATAGTTTTGCATAATAAAGCTTTTTTGAGTTCCTTTTTGTTTTTTCAAATATATTTTTATAACTTTTATATGTCATTTCGTTTTTATAAGTTTTTTTTTTCAAGTACTTATCATATAACTTTTGTTTTCTTTTTGAAGATTTTATTAACCCATTAGACATCCATGGAGTTAAAACAGTTTTGGTTTTTACAATAATTTTTTTTTCAGGAAATGCTTGATCATATTGCTTACAGAATTGATTTAAAAATAGATCATATGCGTTGTTAACGTCATGTGAATGCAATACCAGATCCCAATCAACGTTGTCTCTTAAAAGATTTTGAAATTGTTTTACCGAGTTTTTATTGATCTGTCGCCTAAATGTAATGGATTGAGAAGGACACCGTTAAATAATATATTGTTAGTAACTAGGAATGTTGGGAAATGATCCGATAAGTCAGTTTTGATTATGCCTGTGTAAAGATGGTTATTATGATAGTTTTTAGTTATTATATTATCAAGAAGCGTAGAAGAGTTGTTAGTCACTCTCGTTGGTTTGTTTATTGTCGGAATTAAATTATTTTAAAGAAGAGTGTTTATAAATATTGTTAACAATATTATTGGAAGCATAGTATTTTAGGTCAATGTTAAAATCCCCAACTAAGTAGGCATGACTTTGGGTTTTATTTATACTTGTTAAGAATGGTTTAAGATGAGTTTTAAATTTTTTTAAGCTAGTAGATGGAGGTCTATATGTGGTATATATAATTACTTTTTTTGTGGTTTTATTTATTAATCCAATGCATAATGACTCACAATCTATTTCATTCACACAGAGATCATTACGTAAATTATAATTAATTGAGTTGTGGACAAAAATACTTACGCCCCACCAATACCAAAATGACGTGGTTGATGAATTGATTTGTAAATAATTAGTTCAAATTGCGCATTTGTTTCACCACACTTACACCAAGTTTCCGTGAGACAAATAATTTTAAAATTGTGTTTTAATTCATTCAATAAAAGTTTAAGATTTTCAAAATTTTTATTTAAACTTCGAATATTAATGTTTAAAATTGAAAAACAATTTTTATTTTTTTGAAGATATTGAGAAGATTCAATAACTGTATAGTATTGGCTTTCAGATATTTTATGATTAAAATTATTAGTGTCATCGACGTCACTTAGTACGACATTTTCATCTAAAAATTTAATTATAAAGTTTTCCTCCATAGCATATATAGATAAACGTAAAATAGTTAATAAAATAGTTATCAATAGTTAAAAGAATACTAATAAACCCTAACCCTTAATATTTTGACACCGATTCGGGATTTCTTCTGTTTTCTTAGACACCCATTCGCGTACAATTAGCTTATCGTATGACATATGTGCAAATTTTCCCAGTTGCCGCTCAATTTTCATTTTTTCTCTACGATCTTTTCTAATTAAGTTCGTTTCGAAGCAAAAATCTTCGTTTATGTAGATATTTTTACCCTTTAATTTAGAAGAATTTTTTAAAATTTCTACCTTATCTTTGTAATCTAACAGCTTAATAATAATTGTGCGTGGTGTTTTTGCGTCTCGGCGTCCACTGCGATGCGCTCGTTCAATTCTCACATTTTCCACTACTAAAGACTCCTGAAAAACTTTAATCACTTTTATTTCACTTTTAGACCATATTTCATTTTCATTTTCTTTGATGCCATCAATCTTAAGGTTATTTCTTTGTGATCGATCCTCAATTTGTCTAATTTTTTTTTTAAAGTCGATAAACTCGTCGCTTTTATGTGCTTCGTTTTGACAAACTCTTTTTTTTTCAATAGATTCAATATTATTTTTGACCTTTTTTTTTGATGAGTTCCTCGTAAAAATTTAACCTTTCCTTTATATCAAGTACATCCTTTTCCAATCGTTTAATTTTTTCCATGCTGTAATTAATGTTTGTTTCAGCTTTTTGTTGTCGGTCGCTCGTTATTTTTGCGTTTGCACTGATGAGTTTAAGCATATTTTCTTCTTGTTGTTTTATAAGTAATACTATATCTTTTTTGTACTCCGAAAACATTTCCTTAAACATTGTTTGAATTTCACAAATGGTTACTGCAATCTCTAAATATGAATACTGTAAAAATTCAATGTTCAATGTCGCGTTACGTCATCGTTTATTGTTTTTTCAAGTAGATTCTAGGCTTTTTTTAGAGCGCGTTTTTTAAGTACATGCGGTCCACTCAAAAGGTCTACCGAGCCAGACCTGACGAACTTCTCTTAACTTTTTAGGGAAATCATTTTTATATAGTTTCAATTTACATGTTTACTTAAGTTGAATTTTGCAATTTTTTATTTTAGAACGTTGTTATAAAATGATGAAGAGTTGTAAAGTAAAAATCTTATTTTTACTTTATAGGTTATATTTAATTTTATTAATTTAATTATTATAGATTAGCAAAAAAGAAAAATGAACGGTAAAGTTTTTATTTTAATCTTTTTCAAAACATTTTATTTGTTTAACATCAAAAGAGTCTTATTGTAAGGAAAAATTTAAACTATGTGAAAACTATTTGAACGATTTAAAAGATAAATAAGACTTATTAATAATCATAATAATAATTTTAGTTACATTTTAAGTACATTATCAAGTATATAGTATATATATTTTTTCTGTTTATTTAATGTGTAACTTTGATTTTTTGTTTTTTTTGGTTTACTATATTTTATTATAGTAAACCAAAAAAAACAAAAAATCGGAGATGAAACTGAAGGTAAGTGTTGATTTTTTAAATATTTAAGTATAATTTATTATTTTTTCATTTATATTTTGATTTATATTATTATTATTGTAAATTCTATTTAGTTAACCACGGAGATGAAACTGAAGGTAAGTGTTGATTTTTTAAATATTTAAGTAGAATTTAAAATATTAGTAGTATATAGTAGAGTATTTTTGGAGTTGAATTTTCATTTAGTTGACAATGATGGGGAAGATGAAAGTAAGTTTTAAATTTTGTAACTATTTTAGTAGAACTAAATTTATATGTTAATGATAACTTCTGTCTAAAACAAGATGTTAATTGTATATATAATTTGTTTAGTTTATCATAAGCGACCTGATAAAGGTATAATCGTTAGTTAGCCAATTAGCAATTAATTTTGTTTTTAAAATTATTGAATTTTTATAATATATGTCTTTAAAAGATTTTAATAAAAGTGTATTTAAATTTATTGTTTAGACAAAGCACTAAAGAAATACAGTCAGTATTTTTGTCATTAAATATTTGTTATTAGGATTTAATAATTTGTACTGTTTACTTTTAACTTGCTTTTTACTTTATAGGAAAATTGAAACTTAGACTAGGTATAAATTATTTTATAATTTTACCAATTGATAATTTATATATATATATATATAAATATATACACACACACACACACACACACACACACACACAGAGTAGTGATAGAGCCTTAAATTTAACTCAACATTGTTAATTTATCCTAATTTAAAGATATTTTTTCAAATTACTGATTTGATTGATTTTTTTTTATGTCTTTTTTATAAAATTTTCAAGTTTTTTTTTGTTTTAGATGATTTTATGGCAGAAATGAGGAAAACAGGTAAAAATTATATTTAGATACATACATACTTTTTATTATTAACTATTATATGTTTTATAATTTTTAACATTAATTTTTTTTTTAAGTCTCATTATTAGTGTCAAACTCTGTGACAACTGGTAGGGTTATGCTTTTTATTTTTTTGCAATTATATTGTAGATTATTAAAATACAAATATTACATTTGTTTTTTTTTTGTTTGTTTTTTTTTCTATTCTACTCTTCTTCTTTTTTCCCTCTTTTTTTCAGCATCGTTCTCTGGTACTACTTCAACATGTAGGGTTATACTTTATATTTAAATAAAATACAAGTATCAACATGTTTAGTTTATATTTTTTTCATTTTTTAGCATCATCATCTGATATGACTGCAACTGGTAGGGTTATGCTTGATAATTTTATTTAAGTACAAAGATTAACATGTTCAGTTTTTATTTTACCCTACTTTTATTTTATTTTCTATTTTTTAGCAGTGACATCTGGTACTACTACAATTGGTAAGGGTATGCTTTATATTTAGATTAAAATACAAATATCAACCTGTTTGGTTTTTATTTTATTCTACTTTTTTTTTTTCTCTTTTTCTTTAGCCTCACCATCTGATACTACTACAACTGGTTGGGTTATGCTTTATATTTTTATAAAAATGCAAATATTAAGATGTTCAGTTTTTACTTTATCTAACTTTTATTTTATTTTCCCTTTCTTTAGCATTGACATCTGGTAGTACTACTACAATTGGTAGGGTTATGCTTGATATTTTTATTAAAGTACAAAAATTAACATGCTCAGTTTTTATTTATCCTACTCTTATTTTACCCTACTTTCATTTTAATTTTTATTTCTTTAGCGCTGATATCTGGTACTACTACAATTGGTAAGGTTATGCTTTATTTTTTAATTGAAATACAAATATCGACATGTTCAGTTTTTATTTTATTTTTTCCATTTTTTTAGTATCGTCATCTGGTACTACTACAACTGGTAGGATTATGTTTTATATTTTTATGCATTTTTTTTCAAATTGCAATTTTATTCAAAATACAAATATGAACATGTTTGGTTTTTATTTTATTTTTTCCATTTCTTTAGCATCGTCATCTGGTACTACTACAGTTGGTAGGATTATGTTTTATATTTTTATGCGTTTTTTTTCAAATCGCAATTTTATTCAAAACACAAATACCAACATGTTCAGTTTTTACTTTATTCTACTTTTTTTTTCCTTCTATTTCTTTAGCATTGTCTGGCACTGCTGCAACCGGTAGAGTTATGCTTTTATCTTATTATTATTTTAAATGCAAATATCTATTTTTTTTATTATATTATTTTTTATTTCTTTAGATCTAAATTGGAGCAGCTACAGGCTTTATCGCTCCCAGCACCCAGGACCTCTTTCTGAGAGGTCCTTTAACAAATGGTGCTTTAATAATGGTATGGATGAGCCCTCATTTAAATGGAGAGCTCATCCATACAGGGGTGCTGGGAGGCACCAAGGAAAAAACAGCAACAAAAAAATTTTAAATATCTTTAATCAGTGAAGATATTTACAATTTTTTTGTTGCTGTTTTTTCCTTGGTGTTTTATTCTCAATGAAATAAATTTATAATTTTAATTTTGTTTGTTTTTATTTTTTTAGTATTTGTTTAGACTATTAATTTTTGACTAGATATTTAATTTTTGGTTCACAATATTACATGACTGTAATTGTCCCCAATATATATCATATCAGTTAAATCAGAAAAATGTACTATAGTAGATAATTAACTGTAAAAAAAAACCACATGTAAATATCTAATATTTTAAAGTTTATAATTTGTTGATTTTTACCAGATTTTATTTCTTTTCATTGTTTCGAATTCAATAGTTTAGTGTTTATAACTGCTTTTAACTTATGTTAAGCTTTAATAAATTTAATCTTCTAATTTTTATCTAATATAGATATTTTAATATGTAAAATAGATAGTCTTAATAATAAAGAAAAAAAAAAAAGTAAGTAATAAGAAAAAAGAAAAACAGATAAATGATCTTTTATATATTGAATTTGAATTTTGTCATGTTGCTTATTATATTATTAACATTTCAATGATGCTGTTAGATTTTTGTTTATTTCTTTAGAATTTAGAAAATTAAATTAAACTACAACTTTTGAACAGTCATTTCATTGTTTGTGAAGGTTAAATTATTTTAATATTTTTTAAACAATTTTTTTATAGAAATAATTTGAAGTTTACAAAAAGGGTTTACAAATACTTTATTTTTTAATTTTTTTTTCTATTTTTTGTTTAAGCAGCACTTTTATTATTCAAATTTTATTATTCATTATTTTTTAATCCTATTCGTTATTTTTTTATTTAGATTATTATTATGAGTTTTTTGTTTAAACATCTCTTACCAGATATATTTATGAAATTTTTTTTATAAAAAATGCACAAGATTGTTGTATAATTTAGTTTATTTTAAATAAAAATTTCCTGTCATTTTTTAAAAATAATTTGTATGTGCAATTTAGAGTAGTAAAAAAAAAAAAGATCACAATCTTCTGGATTAATTCAAGTTTTTTTGTTACTATTATCAATTAAAAGTAAAATTTAAATGGATGAAAATGATGAAAATGTTAATAGGCAAGTTGAAAATAATCGTCGCAGAAATGCCAGAAATAGGCTGAGGCGAGATGAAATTAATAATCAACAGAATGCTAGATATGCTGCTCGGCAAGCCGCAAATAATTTGAATCAAAATGAGGACAATGTCATTAGGCAAGTTGAAAATAATCGTCGCAGAAATGCCAGAAATAGGCTGAGGCGAGATGAAATTAATCATCTTCAAAATATTAGATATGCTGCTCGGCAAGCTGCTAATAATTTGAATCAAAATGAGGACAATGTCATTAGGCAAGTTGATAATAATCGTCGCAGAAATGCAAGAAATAGGCTGAGGCGAGATGAAATTAATAATCAACAGAATGCTAGATATGCTGGTAGACATGAAAGAATGCATTGTATAGCAAGAAGTAATACTATTCCAGATTATAATTATTTAGGAGAAATGAATCATATTTGTCAGCATTGTGGTGCTAAGAAATTTCCTGATGAAACACATTTTTTATGTTGCCATAATGGAAAGGTAGTTTTGTCTCAACTTTCACCATTTCCGCAAGATTTACAAGATTTATTTACAGGAAGTTATGTAGATCGAAATGCCAATGTGAATTTTCTAAAATATATTCGAAATTATAATGCCTGTCTTTCTTTTGCTTCATTTACTGCTAATGTAGTTCAACCCATGAATCATGGGCCGCCATGTTTTAGAATATGTGGTCAGGTTTTTCATCGTGTTGGTAATCTTAGGCCAGATCAAGATATTCCTCCAACATATTGTCAACTATACATTTATGATCCACTTGCAGCAATAAATTTTAGAATGCGACAACCTGGTAATGATCTTTGCTTAAATGATTTAATGTTTCGGTTGCAAACTATTATTAGTGAGGAGAACCCATTTGCTCTCGCATTTAAAAACATGGCTGAAGTGGAAGATGAAGAAATTCGCCAAGCAGCTATAGAAGGTCGCTCAGTCTCAGTTGTAAAAATGTCTTTACTTGAAGGGCAAGATAGACGTCGCTATAATCTCCCTTCACATAATGAAGTTGCAGTTGTATTTGTTGGTGAAGATGGTGCTCCTCCTGCTTCCAGAGAAGTTGTTATTTACCCGAGAGGTCATCCTCTTAAAACTATATCAAGTATGTCTGCCAACTTAGATCCTATGGTTTATCCTCTATTTTTCCCAAGGGGTGATGCTGGTTGGCATAATCAATTGGTTCACAACCCTGAACGTGCTACATTGGTTAGAAATCATGTTACATTATCTCAGTATTACAATTATAGACTTTCGGTTAGACAAATTTTTTCTTCAATCTTTTATGGCAAGAAACTATTTCAGCAATATGCTGTTGATGCATATGTCAAAATTGAAGGCCAGCGCCTTGCTTTTATCAGAAATAACCAAAACAAACTTAGAAGCGAGCAGTATGATGCCTTACATGAACATGTAGACAACCTTGGAAACGATCATAATGTTAGAGTAGGGCGCGTTGTAGTTTTGCCATCTACTTATGTAGGAAGTCCTAGAGCTTTAAAAGAAAACTTTGAAGATGCTATGGCTATAATTAAAAAGTATGGTAAACCAGATCTTTTTATTACTTTTACCTGCAACCCAAAATGGCGCGAGATAACTGAAAATTTATATCCAGGTCAAACTGCAAATGATAGACCTGATTTAGTTACACGAGTATTTAAACTCAAATTAAATAATCTCCTAAATGATATTTTTAAGCATGGTGTATTAGGGAAAGTCGTAACCCATGTTCATGTTATCGAATTTCAAAAGCGTGGTTTACCACATGTTCATATTTTACTTCACTTTGCCACTGATGACAAGCTGGAGACAGCACAGGATATCAATAGTTTAATATGTGCTGAAATTCCAGATCCAATTATAAATCGTGAACTTTATGATGTTATTAAAACTTGCATGATTCATGGCCCATGTGGCATACTGAATCCAAATTCTACCTGCATGAAAGATGGGGTGTGCAGCAAAAATTATCCTAAAGAATTTAATGCCAACACAGTAGTAGTTCATAATGGTTATCCTCGCTATAGGCGTCGTGATAATGGTTTGGTTATCAATATTAAAGGCAACAATGTAGATAACCGCTGGGTGGTACCTTACAATCCATGGTTATCAAAGAAATATCAAGCCCACATTAATGTTGAAGCTTGCATGTCTGTTAAGGCTGTTAAATATTTGTACAAATACATATACAAGGGTCACGACTGTGCCAATATTTTGATAAATGAACAAATTAATCATGATGAAGTAAACACTTTTTTAGACTGTCGTTATGTTAGTGCACCTGAAGCATTGTGGCGAATTTTTGAGTATCCCATAAGTCATATGTCACACACTATTATCCGTCTTAAAGTTCATCTTCCTGAGAATCAATTAGTGTATTTTAGAGAAGGAGCAGAACAAATGGCTTTAGATCGTGCAGCTCAACGTGATACACACCTTACAGCATGGTTCAAGTTAAATTCTGAAAATGAAAGAGCACATTGCTATTCATATGTAGACATTCCTTATCATTTTATATTTGATGATAAGCTTTGTAAATGGAAGGTTAGACAAAGAGGTGGTAATAAGGTGATAGTAAGAATGTATAAAGTTAATCCAAGTGGAGAATTATTTTTTCTTAGGCTGTTACTTTTGCATGCAAAAGGAGCCAAGTCTTGGGTGGATGTGCGTACTGTTAATGGTATTGTTGTTGAAACATTTCGTGAAGCATGCGTTTTAAATGGTTTGTTACAAGATGACACTGAATGGCAAAATGCACTTTCTGAGGCAGTTTTAACACGTATGCCAAAGCAAATTAGACAGTTATTTGCAATTATTTTGACTTTTTGTGAACCAGACAATCCTTTGCATCTTTGGAATACATACAAAGCATTTATGATTGAGGACTTTATTCACCGCTCAGTCCCGCTTATAATAGCTGAACAAGCTGCTCTTTGTCAAGTTGAAAAGATTATTAATCAGTGTGGTAAAACGTTGGCAGATTATAATCTTCCTGTTATTGAGTTAGATTTTAATCTAGATAATCTAGAAAATTTCAATCAAAATGTTCAACAATCAATTGATGAAGCCAATAGAATGAGACCACTGCTCAATGTCAATCAATTAAATGTATGTAATGCTATTCTTGCTGCATTGAATGAACAACCAAGTGTAGAAAATCAGCATTCTCGATTGTTTTTCATGGATGGACCGGCTGGTAGTGGAAAAACGTTTACATATAATTATTTAATTGCTGAAACCAGCAGTAGAGGTATCAAATCTGCTACAGCTGCATGGACTGGCATAGCAGCAACTCTTCTTACAAATGGATCTACATTGCATGGCTTATTCAAACTTCCTGTTCCAATATTAGATAACAGCACATGTAATGTTACTCCAAACTCTATACATGGACACTTTTTAAGTCAGGTTAGTTTGTTTTTGCTTGATGAAACATCCATGATACCCAAACATGCATTGAATGCAATTGATAGGTTATTAAAAGATGTTTGCAACAACAACTTTCCATTTGGAGGAAAAGTCATTCTTTTTGGAGGCGACTTTAGACAAATACTGCCTGTTGTGAAAAGAGGACAACCAGCTGAAGTTGTAGAAGCATGTATAAAATGTTCTTTACATTGGCAATGGGTGCAGAAGTTTAAGTTAACAGAAAATATGAGAGTACATGATGGGGAAAGGGAATTTTCAAATTGGCTGTTGAGACTTGGTAGTGGAACAGTATTTGTCAAAGAGGAAGATCCTTTTAAAGGGTGCGTTGAAATACCGCATCAATGCCTTATTAGGGAAAATGACTCCATTGTTGAAAAGATATTTGGGGATGCCGAACAAGACGATTATGCTAAACGTGTCATTTTGACACCAACTAATGTGGATTCACTATCAATCAATGAGGAAGTGCTTCAACGTCTACCGGGTGAGGTCAAAACTTATTTAAGTGCTGATCAAGTTGAGACAGACAATCTTAATGAAAGAAATAACTTTCCTGTTGAGTTTTTAAATAGCTTAACTCCCTCAGGTATGCCTCCTCATTCTTTAAAGTTTAAAATTGGTTGTATAATTATGTTACTTAGAAATTTAGATCTCAAAGCTGGGTTATGCAATGGCACTCGAATGAAAGTTTGTGCTCTTCAAAATAATTATATTGATGCAGAGGTTTTGACAGGTGTTTCTGCTGGTAAACGGGTATTTGTACCTCGAATTCAGTTGGCTCCGTCAGATTCTAATTTACCTTTTGTTCTAAAACGTCGCCAGTTTCCTGTCAGATTGGCATATTCAATGACAATTAATAAAAGTCAAGGTCAAACATTTGATAGAGTTGGTGTATATCTAAAGAAACCGTGTTTCACTCATGGTCAACTTTATGTTGCATGTTCAAGAACTAGAGCATTTAATAGTTTATTTTTTAAAATTGATAAACATCCCATTCAAGGTATGATAGGTGAAAAGTGTTATACAAATAATGTTGTATTTTCTAATGTTCTTAATTTATAATTATGAGATTTTTGTTATAATTTCACTTTTTTTCATAGTTTTATTTTATATTGTTTTAGTAATTATATTTGTCTTTATACATGTTTATAATTGTTATAGGTGTTATGTAAGTGTTATATTTATGTTATGTGTTAGTTGTTATTTAAATTGTTCATGTAATACTTGGGCTATATGTGTTATCAAGGTATATGTGTTTAGGGTTTGTGTGTATGTGTTTATAGTTTGTGTATATATGTTTATATTACGTTGTTTCCATGTTTTCAAAGTGGTGTGACTTGGCAAACGTGTCGAGCAAGATAGTTAACCTTGCCAGCCAAGCGGTGTACTTAAAGCAGAGGTGTGACTTGGCAGCGTTTAGTGCCAAGTGGTGTTACTGCTTTGTTGTGGCTAGGTTGTGTTGTCTAGCCTTTTTTAATTATTCTGGAAACACGTAATGTCTATTAATATTAAGCATCATATGTACATACAAATATGTAATGTGTTAAATGTGTTAATATGTTTTATAATGTTATATCGTCACGATCATAGCACAATTGCCTAAGTCATTTTTTGGGGTTTTTTTGGAAGTTAAGAGTTGAAATATATAGCTTAAACAGTCTAATAATGTGGCAAATCGCCTTAAACCAATCAGAAAGGAGTTGATTTTTAGTTTTTTCACTTCTGCTTAAATCCGCTTTTTTACTTATATCTTATTGCTTTTGACCTATATTCTATTGTGTCTCAACGGTAATACACATATCATTTCTAAAGCAATATATGAAAGCATCTAAGTAAAAAGATGCCAAAAATAAGCCAAAGTGACGTAGCAAAAGAAATACCGAAGTTATTCATTTTTTTTTTTTTTAGTTTTCTCAAAACAAGAAAAAAATTACTTAGACGATTGTGCTATGATCGTGACGATATGTTTATAGTTTGTTTCTTTGTCTATTTTATGCAGTGGTTTCAAAGTGGTTTGACTTTGCCATTGTAAAGAGCAAGTGTAATGTGTACTTATAAATATCTTATGTGCTTTTGTTGTGCGTTATCGTTGTAATATTGTTGTGATGATTTGTGTTGATAGACAGTTGGCTTACCTTCCCGTTGGTGTCTATCGTTAAAAATGATTAATTGGTAGTTCTATTCATGGAGCTTACTGTTTCTAATCATTCACTAAAAGCCAAGACAAAACATATTGTTATAAACACAATTTGTTTATATTTCAATTTGTTTTTTTTTTTTATCTTTAGTGTTGTGCATAGTTCTATTCTTTAAAACATTTTTAATTTGTTTTTTAATAAATGTTAATTTTTTCGTCTTTAATAAAAGCCAGCATGAAATAATGTCATTGAACAACACCATTAAATATTGCTTCATCAAAACAGCAACTGCAGTTTGCCAAAAACAGGTTAATTGTTTTCCTGTTTTAAAAATGTTTTTCTTTTCTATTATATTTACTTATCTATTACATTTTTCTTTTAGACACCATGTGACGTATTTATGCGATACAGGAGAACACAAATAATAATTATGTTTTGTTATTAAATAATAAAGTTTTGTTAAAAAAAATATTATTAAATAAATTTGTGATTTTGTAATAAACGGAAGGGTCGGATTTTAGAAGCATGAAATATTTGAAAATTTCTGTTTAAAATGCATTTTTCATCTATGATGGAGAGACCTTTATGTAATTAACTAAAATTTAATTATGCGCACATTAAACGCTTTTAAGTTAAATAGAATTCCTTAATAAAGGAGAGGGGGTTACCAAAAAAATTAATAAGTGTCCCGTTAGACATTAGAAGTTAACATTTATATAAGTATTATAAAATTTTTTAACTGCTCCAAAAAATTTAAAGATGTTAAGGAAAATTTCAACTAAATGATAATAAAAACGCCTTCACTCTAAAAAAAATATATATCTAAAAAAAAAAAGTTTTTGTCATATTTAACAGTAACTCCCTTAAGTTAATTATTATGTCTTTTTCTAACACGGTGCCTTGGAAACACTGTCTTAGTCTCACTTAAATAAGAATTAATAAAGCGAGATAAAACCTGAATAAGTACGGAGCTCTTGCGTACTTCTTAACACTATTGATAATGACCGTCTATAAACATACTTTACGCGTTGTTTGCTGTTTTATAAAATAATTATAACTATAAGCAATGACAGCTAATAGGGAGCCGAACTTTAAATACAAATTTATCTGTAAAATTATTTACAAATAAATTTGTATTTAGATATATATTTTTAGATAACGTAGTAAGTTTTGTTGTTACTAATGGTTTAGTTATTTTTAACCCGTATTACGGGTTGCTTACTGCTAGTATTTAATAATTGATAAAAAAAAATAAAAAATAAAAAATAAAATAAAAATCAAAATTAAAAATTTTCTTCGATCAAAAATAAACACGTCTGCTCAGCGCAAAAGTAATAGCGATTTTTTTTTTGGTTGTTGCTGGGTTTGGTTATCAGGGCAGTAACTATAACTATTATTCTTAATTTTAAATAAAATAATTTTATTTATTAAAATATCAGCCCAAAACTTATTAAAAATAAACAAAATAATTTTTAACAGATCTCTAATAATATGAAACTAAAAAAAACTGAAATAAAAATATTATTATAAATTTATTGCATAGATTACTATTAATGCTATAACAAACAATCCACCAAACACAGCCGCAACGGCATAATTTCTTGCGGATTTAGAAGCACTTTGAGCTCTATCAATGTCACCTAATGAAATAGCTGTTTCAACCTTTGAAATAAACAATTTAAAACCGTTTAGTTTTATTCAATTTTAAATAGTTATATTATGTCTCAAAAACATAAATAAAAATAAATCATAAATTTAAAACCTCATTCGATTTTTTAATTGACATTAAACCAAGAGGCCAACAGCAAAATAAACAAGTGAACCACGCAGTTGCTCTATAATTATTTGGAAGTTGTGCCATATTAACTTCAGGTTGTTGAGTTACAATTCCTATTGCATGATAAGGCTAAAACAATAAAATATTTTCTTATAAATCGGAATAACGTTTTGAGTTTTTGAAAACACGCAAGCCTAGAAAGTTTTAAGGAAGAAACTCCCTCTAAAATCATCAAAAATACAAAAATTTAGTATCGCCTTTTTAAGTCATAAAAATAACAATAGATTTCATTTATGTAATTTGTTTTTCATAAAAATCATTCTTAAGTGCAGAAATTTAAGGTTTTTAAATGGTGAGGTGATGTTTTGTTATATCGAAAGTGAAATTGTTTTGTCGTATTTGAAAAAAAAAAAAAAAAATAAAAAGCTGATGTAAAATGCCTAATATGGGTTAGGATGCTTCAGCCTATTATACTTCTTTTTCAGCTAAGCAAAAGTAAGCGAGATTAGGAGGCAAAAACACACTCAGAATAATGTTATTTAATTTAACAAGAATGCCAAAAAGGTTGTAGAGTAAAACGTTGAACTAATCTTGCTAGGAAAAGGTTTAGATCTTTTCCAGTTAAAAAATCATTAAATTATGAAGAAGAAATTGTAATTGTAAATATTTTAATTATATAATGACACTGTGGTTCACTGTCCGAGTGATGAAAATAAAAATGACGCTTCTGATAATATTACAAATATTCCAGCATCACATTCAAAAATACGACAAATTGATGTCGTTGAATTTTCTTATAATACCTTACTGTCTAAATATAGAATTACAGATGCAGAAGTGTTATCTGTTATTTTTAAAGAACTCTTTGTCCAATGTACTTCAATGAAGACTCTCTTGTGTTGCCTGACAACTTAAAAGATTGACATGGACTTGCCTTTTTTTTAGTTTTAAAATGTTCAGATTGGTTATTATGTAAAAAATTTTGTACTTCAAAAAAATACAACATAAATAAGCGAGGTATTTAGGGATACAACATAAATAAGCGAGGTATTTACACAACGCAGTTGTTGGGTCATGGTCACGCAGGACTGAAAAATTCACTTCTTCAATGAATATTCCTCCACCAATGACTAGAAGTAACTATGACAAGCTCGCTAAAAGAATCCTAAAGTTGTGAAAAAAGTTTTTATAAGAAAAAACTATGTGTAATGCTGCTGCAGAAATCAGACATGATTCGAATACTGATATTGTTGATACTGGTGTTTCATGTGATAAGACATGGCAACGACGTGGTTTTTTATCATATAATGGTGTAATGATTGCAATATCTATTGATAGTGGAAAGGTAATTGACGTATAACCAATGTGTAGAGTTTGTAAAGCTTGTATTTTAATATAACCAAAAAAGTAAAGTGAACCTTTAAATTTTGCTGAGTGGAGAAACCTACATAAGTGTGCATTGGGCTACAAAGGGTCTGCTGAGAGTATAGAGTCAGTTGGTATAAAAAAAAATATTTTAACGTTCTAATACAGATCGCAAGCTCCGCTTTGTAAACAATTTAGGTGATGATTGTTTATAAAATCAAACCAATTTTTGCAGAACTCAGTGCTGACCAACATTTGGAAAAGTGCTTACATGGCAAGACACAAATACTAATGAAAATTTTAATTGCACTATCTGGGAGCGTTTACCTAAAACGAAATTTATATCATTCAGTCATTTAGAATTTGAACTTAATGATGAAGTAGTTAATTTTATCATTATCGAAAAACCTCAATTTTAGTTTATGAATCTTTGGACATAATTCCAGGAGTATATAGGGGAAAGTGGGGCAACATGGCGAACGTTTTGAAAGGCCTGAGTTATTGAAAAACTATAAGTCGTGAAGCCATAATACTTTCTCAGTATGTTTATGATGTTAAGTTCTTTCATTGCTTGCATGAATTTTCAGTTTGCAAGTATAACAATTTGAAATAAATATTAAAATTAAAAGTTCATAAATTTGTCATCTGGTCACGTGACCGGGGCAAGATGACTTATTACGCAGTTTTTAACTCCAATTTTATAAAATTTTATAAACTGCCAATAACTCTAATAAAAGTAACAAAAAATAAACACAAATTGCTGAAACTACTTCTAAAGAAGTTAAACTTGAAGGACACTAACCATTATGAGAAACCGAAAAGGAGGAATTTTTTTTTAAGCGCAAAAAGTAAACTTATTTGTATAAAATGGCGTTAATAATATTTTAAAAAACCAATTGGTGTTTTAAAATACAAGATGCAAATACAGTTTCGTTTTCACCTAATTTTAAAATTTTTTGTTGAGTTGTTATATGAAAACCCATCTTGCCCCATTCGCTATGTTGCCCCGCTTTCCCCTACTCTTAAAGATTGCAAAATTTTGAGCTTTAAACGACTGTTACGTTCCAAATACAGAAATATTGATAAAAACAAGTTGCGACGAAAAAATATTTGTGGGAAAAAACATAACAAAAATGATAAAGAAAAAGAAAAAGAAGGGAAGTTGTATGAAGCAGGAGGTTTCTAATACTTTTTATTAAATATTTTAACTAAAGTATATGTTTTACTTAAAGTGTTAAAGTTTTATGTGCTAATTTATTTTTCTTTTCGCGTTTTCTCAAAATAGTCTTTTTTTACACGCCGGCCGTTGTATCTCAAGAACCGTTTTGTTAATTTTGATGAAATTTTCTAGAGTTGTTTCTATGATTATAAACTGTGGTTTAATAAAAAAAGTTTTTTAAATTGAGGTTTAGATTTTTTTATTTTAAATATTTTGAATAAAAAATATTTTCGCCACCTTTAAATGTGCACACATCGCTAAGATTTTTAGTTACATGAAAATGCCGCTTTTAAAACACCCTTTGACTTTTTGTGAAGCATTTGGTGAAAGCTTTATAACATATCTTGCACGGTTATTTAGTTTTTATGGCCGGTGTGAATGCATTTCTTGCCCATTTTTATGCGTTATTTGTGGTTACTGTGTGCAACCAAAAACCATCTGGTATTTTTTTTTACGTATTTTGTTTATTCATAATATATTGATGTTTTATATTCTTGATTTTGTTTAAAATGCTTAATACTTCTGTTTAGGGGGAAGGGGAGGGGGAGAGTGGTAGCTTTCTCCTTAACATAAATACCGAGAAGCCTTATTTTATTTAGATAAATTCATTTTAAATATTCCTCTTATATTATATATATATATATATACATATATATATATATATATATATATATATATATATATATATATATATATATATATATATATATATATATATATATATATATATATATATATATATATACATATATATATGAGGTTTACACATGGAGTAGCACAACATCCAGGTAGAATTGTGACACATTTTAAAGTTCTTGACCTTTTAAAGTTTAAAACCATGTATTGGTATCCATTTATTAAAATAGAACATACACACTAAACATTGAACTAGATATTCCAAAAGGAGTTCCAGCACCCTATTAAACAATCGCTCACATCTGTATTCAGATTAGTTTCATCAGAGCCAATAGCTAAAACGTTATCAAGTGATATTTTGTTTTCATCAAAAAAATCTATAACATCATTCTTGATATTTGTTGATGATGCACTTGATGGAGAAATATGATCAAGAAAAATTGAATGAAATTCTTTAATCAATGTGATATGTTCCTCAGTAATTATGTCTTTACTGCTAGTTGTTTATGCATAAAAAGAGTTTTATTTTTTCTCTCATCAAAGAAAATTGACTTTGGGTTTAATGAACACAAACCTAAATTTGGTTTGTGTGATAATGAAGTTTTAAGCAATTGTCTTTGACACCCTAATTTGATTTGCTCTATGAGCAAACCAAATTAGGGTGTCAAAGACAATTGGGTGTCAATGAGCAAATTAGGGTGTCTATGAGCAAACCTAATTTGGTTTGCTCTATAATTGTCTTTGATACCCTAATTTGGTTTGCACTAGCTTCTCTGTTATATTTTTTTAAAATTTTTTACTCGAAAGTGTGGCAGCAGCAATTGCAGCTCCAGTAATACCATATTTGTCACATTCCTTGGCAACAGTTAGAAACCTTATCATATTTCTGTTAGATTCACTTGCTAATTTACATAAATCTGACAAATGATTGTTATCAACATTGCTCTGAGTGTGATTTACAAACTCATCCTCACTAAAATTAAATTTTGTATCTATATCAAAAGTGATACTAACTGATGCTTTCAGACTGTTTTTCTAGACGAAAAAAAAAATCATAGTATTTCTGGCTTTTTGTGCTCATTTCAAACGCTTTGGTTAATATAAAAGTTTTTTCAAGAATCAATAACCATATTTCTTTTATTTTTTTGATACATTTAAAATTCGTTAAATTTCAAAACTGACCGTTTTGATATTCTTGGGCATGCCAATACTTATATTAAAAAAATGACATGCCTCAATGTCAAACAAAACTAAACTTTCTATCTAAGCAATTAATACTGCTGAAGTCATTGAACAATATATTTTTTTTAAATCATTCTTAATTTATTATGCACAAATTCTACTTTCTGCTGCACTTTTTGCACTGAATCATTTGGAATACCAGATTTCAACCAAATGTTCATAGCATTTTTAGAAACTCAAGAAACTATTGTGCTTGACTTAGTTGTATTAGGATGTTGTTATTTAACATAAAATAGTGCTACATGACTTCCTTAAAAGTTGAAAGTTTGCGAGTAGTAAAATCACATTTGATACAATAAATAGGACAAGTCAATTGTGCTCTTGTAACAGTTACTTAGTAACTTGAATCGTTAAATAGAAAGTTTATGATTTATTACTGGTTTATATGTATAGGTATAGTTTTATTTTGGAAAACATTGAAAAAATTATGACCAAATACCAATACCTAAATACCAATAGTTAGCCTGAAATTGCAAAATCTAAGTCACCAGAGAACAAAAAAAGGCAAAATAAACTATTCTATTATATATATATATATATATATATATATATATATATATATATATATATATATATATATATATATATATATATATATATATATATATATATATATATATATATATATATATATATATATATATATATATATATATATATATATATA